ATATATATATATATATATATATATATACATATATATATATATATACATATACATATACATATATAAATATATGTATATATATATATATATATACACACACATACATATATATATACATATATATATATACATATATATATATATACATACACACATATATATACATATATATATATATATATATATATATATATATATATATATATATATATATATATATATATATATATATATATATATATATATATATATATATATATATATATATATATATATATATATATATATATATATATATATATATATATATATATATATATATATATATATGTATATATATATATATATATATATATATATATATATATATATATATATATATATATATATATATATATATATATATATATATATATATATATATATATATATATATATATATATATATATATATATATATATATATATATATATATATATATATATATATATATATATATATATATATATATATATATATATATATATATATATATATTTATATATATATATAAACAAGCCAGCAACAAGCAGACACTACAGATCTAAAGTTTAAAAGATGCTTGCTCAGCTGTTTAACTGTCAGCTTATGATTTGAATCCATCGCGGATTTGTTTTATATACACAATTATGCCGTCAAACTGTTGTATAAGCGCAATATCACACTCGTATATTATGGTTTTTAGTAACCAATAGGTGGTGCCAAACAACCATCAAAAATGTGTCGCTGAATAATTCTTCAAAAATGATACAACTAGATATGAAACAAATTATTGAATCAAATTTTTTTTTTTAAATGAGAGTAAAAAATAAATACCATGTGTCGTGCATGAATATAATGTTAGATTTATACATTTAGCATTATCAGAAACAGTAGATCGTCATATTATTGAATATTCTACTTTTTTTATTGAGGTGGTTTTTTCTTGACTTAAATTTTCATTAAAATGACAGGTTCTATGTTATGTTCGTTAAAACCGAAAGTTTTCTGCAGTAATGTTTTTGTAGTAAACGGAAAGCAAATGAGATTTGTCTCTTCCCTTTTTTGCTGATCTGTGACTCAAAAACCATAGTGTGATACGAATAGTGAGATTTGTGATGCATTACACCACTAATATATATGAGCAATATCACACGAGTAGCAGTGCGATGAGGCTTTATATCGGCACTGGTGGGTGCATTGTTGTCCCACCAGTGACAATATAGAGCCTTATCGCACTGCACTCATGTAAAATTGCATTTATACAACAGTTTGATGGGATAATCATGTATATAAAAACACAAATCAAACACGGAAAGTGTCAAAAATCTTTTGGTATGAGGAACTACTTTCTTCCGCTGTTTAGTCACATCTGCAGCTGACGTCCATAGCCAACGTCACTTTAGAGCTAGTGTTTGAATGATTCTCTAGCGTAATGTCTAAAATTATGACAAAACTGGTGATTTTGCTCAAATTTTAAGATAAGGCTGAACGGCATGAAATGCCATCAGTCTACAGAGATTTCCCACTATTCCTTTTTTGCAATCGGGATTTTACAATTAACCCTGAAAAGCCAACGCAGAACAAACGCTGCTAGAATACTATGGTATAAATACAGCACTACAAGTTTAGAATGTCCCTTAAGGGTTTTATAGTGATTTGATGAGCTGTAGTTTAAAACTTATGCTGGGAAAATGCTGTTTTTCTCCCCTAAGGACTTATTATGCAGTCTCTGTCGCCATCTTGTGGCGGAACGTCAACTGTCTTTGCTCTGCTCAGTATGACAGACTGATGGACGCAGACGGCCTCAATCTCCGAAATTATACATTTTAAAATAGGCACTGCCCTTATAAATAAACTGCATAGTTGCAATCTAAACAACTACATTCTCACCTAAAAAAGCCTCAGAAGTACATTATGTTGTCCAACAGCTGCAATTTTTGTCAAACTGTAGTGAGTTTATTGATATGTTGTCACTCTATGTGGGCGGAGTAATACAGAAGCGTGAGGAGTCTGTACGAGTGCAGAATATCGCACGGCTATCAGCAAATAGGTTTCGAGAACCAGACACAACTGTTGTATAAATATCGAAATATGCTGCACAGAGTGTTGATTACCGTGTGCGCAGGTCTTCCCGTCCGCCTGCAGGTTGATGCCGGTGGGACAGGCGCAGCTCCAGGATTTAGGAGCCGGAGCCAGAAGGCAAAGGTGACTGCAGCCGCCATTATTCACCAAACACCCCGTCTGGACTTTAGACAGAAAGCAGAAAAAAAGAAAAAGAAATGTGTAAGAGATGCCCGTCAGGCCTGTGTGTGTCTCATAATGCAGGAATGAAGATCAGTTTCCTCTGGCTTTAATCCGCTGGCTGAAAACTGAAGATATGGGATACTGCTGAGGCTCACATTCCTCCTCAGCTCATGTCTGCTGGGTAAACGTGTGCATTTCAGTTTGTTAACGGGACAACGAGGAAGGACACAAAAGCTTGCTTTACTACATTCAAGACATTTAAACTTAATTAGTGCATTAATCTATTTAGACATCCTGAAAATACATATTTATAAATAAATAAATAAATAAACAAATAAAAAGTTATGTATTTACAGCACCAAAAGTCTCTATATTGAAATAGTAAAGTTGACAGCTCTTAAGATAAAAATGCGCATTAGTAAAATTGTACTGCTGGCTGAATTGAACATGTTAAAGTAAATGTGAACATGTGCATACTTTCCCCCGCTTTGTCTTACCACAAAAAAAGAATGATATTGAGAAGAACAATTGCCAGTGAAGTCATCAAAGTTACCCAAACTCTTTTCTCCTGTCTTACACTATCTGTTAAACTTTTGGTTAATCAACAATTAATTGAGACATAATAATAATAATAATATTAATAATAATAATAATAATGTTAATAAAATGATGTACATTTTAAATAATAAAAATAATAATAAAATGATGTATATTTTAAATAATAATGTTAATAATAATAATAATAATTTAGAATATTTTAAATAATAATAAAAATAATAATAAAATGATGTATATTTTAAATAATAAAAATAATAATAAAATGATGTATATTTAAATAATAAAAATAATAATAAAATGATGTATATTTTAAATAATAATGTTAATATTAATAATAATAATTTAGAATATTTTAAATAATAATAAAAATAATAATAAAATTATGTATATTTTAAATAATAAAAATAATAATAAAATGATGTATATTTTAAATAATAAAAATAATAATAAAATGATGTATATTTTAAATATTATTAATAATAATAATTTAGAATATTTTAAACAATAATAATAATAATAATAATAATAAAATGATGTATGTAATAAAAAAGTAATAAAATGATGTATATTTTAAATAATAATAATAATAATAATTTAGCATAATTTAAATAATAATAATAATAATAATAATAATAAAATTATGTATATTTTTAATAATAAAAAGTAATAAAATAATGTATATTTTAAATAATAATAATAATAATTTAGCATACTTTCAATAACAATAATAATAATAATAATAATAATAATAATAATAATAATTATTATTATTATTATTATTATTATCATTATGCCTATTATTAAATTGTAGTATTTTTTTTTAGCAATTTAAACTCCCCTTTAATATGTACAATAAGAAAAAAAAGAAGAAGCTTCAATACTCAGGGGAAGAATGTCTGAGTGCATCAATTACACCAGATTTCCACTTTTTTCTAGTACTTGAATGTTAAAACGGCCCTCCTATGAAATGTCAGCCACTGATATGGCCCCCGCCAATTTAAGTTTGAGACCCCTGACTTTGTGCCTGTTGTTGGTGTCCAAAAGGGAAGTCCACCTGCCGACACCTGACAACAGTTTATCAAACTGTGCTCGGCTCAGTCTGAAGCACCGCTGAAAGCCTCCATCATCCAAGTATAGTTTCTAGAGGAGTTGATGAACTCACAGAGCTAGTGCACCTCTTAAAGGATCTAGTGGACTCAGACACGGCGCCGAACGAATCGACGCTGTTTTTCAGCCTTCCTAAAGCACATAAACACAGCTATTCTCTATTTATCTTATCTATGTTAGCCACTTAGCAATGAAACTAGAATCATCAGGCAGACAGAAGCCCTGCCCATAATGCGAATCTGTGTCGATTGAGAAGTGAATTTGACACGCAAATAAAGCGAATGACCTCAAAATTTTCACGTGTCCGTTTACATACGAATAGTGAAATATATTTAAGTGTCGCGTGTGGTGTGAACACAGCATTAAAGAAACTACTAAAAAACTATTTATTTAGACCACACAAAATTGCCTACGTTAAAATAGTTTAAAATTAGTAAAAAAAAAAAATGCTAAAATTAAATTAAAATCCAAATAAATGTAAACAAAAAATAAATTTTTTATATTAAAATACTAATGCTAACAAATAAAAAAACAACAACTGACAGATTTAAAAATATATATAAACTTTAATCATGACAATATTTAAATAAAATAATACTATAACAACAGCTGTCTGTCTATCGACACATAAACAGAAACCCTCCATTGTGATGCTTTACCTTTTGTTCTGTGGTTGTGGAACATGTGAATGTCCATCAGGTTCTCAAGGTTTTCCGCCAGTGTTTTTCGATCTAATCCTGTAAGTTTGTCCGCACTTTGAATGCTCTTGGATTGCCAGTCGGTCCAGTAAATTCTGTCTTCATGAAGAGTCAAGCCGAACGGATGAGGCAGCTGACTGCCAATCAACACCTTCAACAGAAAACACTGTCATCATTACAGAACCAATCCTCATCGGTCACACTTTACAATAAGGCTTCATTAGTTAATGTATTTATTAACATGAACTAAAAATGAGCATTTATTAATCATAGCTCAACATTTATTAGTGCATTATTAAAAAACAAATTAGTGAATGCAATCATGTTTACCTGTCTGCCTGACCCGTCAAAGTTGCCATACTCAATGGTTTTAACGCTGGCGTCGGCCCAGTACAGCCTCTCAGTGCTGTAATCGATAGCCAGTCCATTAGGCCAGGTCAGATTAGAGGAGATGATCACTGTACGGTTCCATGCGTCCATTCCTGCACGCTCGATTTTAGGATTCGCACCCCAGTCTGTCCAGTACATGAATCTGTGGACATGCAAAAATTTGAACATTTATATTTCTTTGGTGAAACCATACAAAAGTCATAAGGGACATAAGGGGACTGTTAAAAACACATGTGCGCGCTCGTTTCCTTGCTTGAAACAACCGTGCCTGAAAATGCAACTGGTGTGATCGGTTCTCTTTTAAATAGACTAGACAAAACGTGATGTTCATGCACCCACAGTCCTGCTGCAGATTGGCCTTTTTGTAAGCAGCACCGGTTGCTTTCGCTTTAACCATTATTTGAACAGGATATAGGATATTAACTTCCCATTTATGTGTAATTAACTGGTGTCAACAGTTTTTTTTAAAGAAATGTTTTGTTAAAAAAAAAGTATAGTATAACAGCTATATTTTGCTCGTTTTAACATTGATATTTTCACATTATGCGGAGTCACTGATTGGATCCAAGACCAGCGACGTGATGATCCCAAGGATTCCATATTCGGGACCAGGCTATATCCTGAGCTGCTGCTGCGCTGATGGTCGTGGGGAGTGGAGAACATGAGTCTGATTCCAGCGACGTTCCAGGGACAGACGAGTCTTCGCTGAGGCCATCTTCCAGCCTAAATCACGGCGAATAAAGCTCTGCACAAGACTTTTGGCCAGCGGAGAAATTAAAATGGTCGTGCCCAACTGAGTCTGGTTCCCTCAAGGTTTTTTTTCTTCACTCCCATCAGGTGAAGTTTTTTTTCCCTCTCCGCTGTCGCCACTGCCTCGCATGGTTCAGGATTGGTAGAGCTACGCATCTATGAATTGGCTCTACAGTGTTTGAACTCTCAGTAATGATTAAATCACACTGAACTGAGCTAAACTGAACTGAACTGAACTTAAACACTAAAACCTGAACCACACTGTTCCAGTTACTGAACCACACTGTTCCAGTTACTATGACCATTTATGTGAAGCTGCTTTGACACAATCTATATTGTAAAAGTGCTATACAAATAAAGCTGAATTGAATTGAACATTATTTAAAATTTGTGTATAAGAAATAATTATTTATTTATTTTTAGTGTGGTTACAGAGATATATTTGGTAAATCCTTTGAGCTCTGAAAAGTCATGTGAAATCAAAACTAACTGTAATACAGCACTATGACAACGTGACCCATGTGCTCATGCTCACTGAGGAAGCTCATACACAACATACACAAAAAGTCAAATGAATGAGGAGGCATGTGGACATTGCACAAAATCTAAATCAAGCATGTCAAAGTCATATTTATGCATATAGAATATATTTTCCCAACAACAAAATTGTGGCTAGTGAAAATGGCGAGTGGCGGGTAATGTGGGAAAACTACTAGCCACACTGGCTGGTGATCAAAAAAGTTGATGTCAAGTCCTGGTCTTTAGTGTTGGTGGAGGGCAGCATTATATATTGAAATGTAAGTAACTCACCCTCCGATCGGATCAACAACAATGTCTCGTGGACGATCCAGATTCTCCCAGATCAGAACCGTCCTCATGCTTCCATCTGTGTTCGAAACCTCAATACGATCAGTGCCTGAAGGAAACACAAAATAAATAAATAAAGCTTTTATTATAAATAGAGTTTCAGTTAATAATAAGGATGGTCAATGTAGAGTCGAGATTACAGTTGGCTAAACGCCACTGTTTAAACGCCCCTGAATAGTGGAGCCTCTGCAAAGTTTGGTCACACGTTATTTTAAAGTAATGTAGTACTTTATTTTAAGTACCAATTCTCACTATTACCATGTTTTTATTATCTGCCTATAATAAAGATATTGTCTGTTTATTAATACTTAGGAAGTACATATTCTGATCTTATCTACATCCCTAATCTGATAGCCCCAACCCTATATGACTTACAGCTCCGCCCTAAAGAACTGAAAGTCCCGCCCTATATGACGTATAGCTCCACCCTATATGACTTACAGCTCCCTCCTTAAGTACTGAGTCCCGCTCTAAATGACTTATAGCTCCGCCCTAAAGAACTGATAGCTCCACCCCCCAAAGTACTAAAAGTCCTGCCCTTTATGACACATAGCTCCGCCTTATATGACTTGTAGTTTGGCCCTTTATGATTTCTAGCTCTGCCCTAAAGTACTGATAGTCCCGCCCTATATGATTTCTAGCTCCGCCCTGAAGTACCGATAGCCCCACCCTATATGATTTCTAGCTCCGCCCTGAAGTACTGATAGCCCCACCCTATATGATTTCTAGTTCTGCCCTAAAGTACTGATAGTCCCGCCCTATATGAATTCTAGCTCCGCCCTGAAGTAACGATAGTCCTACCCTATATGACTTATATAGGGAGCTCTGCCCTAAAAACATATAGCTCCGCCCTAAAGGAGTGATATTCCCGCCCTAGAGTACAGATAGTCTCGCCTATATGATTTCTAGCTCTGCCTAAAGTACTGATAATCCTGCCCTATATGACTTATTGCTCCGCCCTGTATAACTTGTAGTCTGGCTCTTTATGATTTATAGCTCCACCTTAAAGAACTGATATTCCTACCGTATGATTTCTAGCTCCACGCTAAAGAACTGACAGTCCCACCGTATATGACTTCTCGCTCCGCTCTAAAGTACTGATAGTCCCGTCCCATGACTTATAGCTTCGCCCTAAATGACTGACATCGCCTACCTAAATAACTGATAGCTCTGCCCCAAAGTACAGACAGCTCCAACCTAAAGGACTGATAATCCCGCCCTATGACTAATAGCTCCGCCCTATATGACTTGTAGTCCCGCCCTATGACTTACAGCTTATAGCTACAAGAAAATGAGATTCCAAAAATGAAATGAACCAATATGAGCAGAGATGTGCTGCTGAAGTGTGAGACGAGCACCTGCATCAGTCCAGTAGAGTTTGTGTGTGAGCCAGTCGATAGCCAGCCCTGCGGGACTCTCCAGACTCGTGTCCACCACAACCTGCAGGAACACCAACAACATCTGTCATATAATACAGCCCTGGATATACTAAGTGTAGGTAAACTAACATGCACAAATATCAGCCCTCCTGACTAAAGCTCTTTTTAAATACATTTCCCAAATGCTTTAACACATTTTAAACATAATTTTTTAATAATCAACTTTTTCTTAGTCATGATGACAGTATATAGTATTTGCTAGTTATTGTTTGCAAGATACTAGTATTCAGTTTAAAGTGCAATTAAAAGCTTAACTAGGTTAATTATGCAACTCATTGTGTCAAATCAACAGTGTTTTGTTCTGTAGTCAATCGAAAAAATATTACTTTTTTAGCAAGGGTTTTAGTTTTAAAAACAAAAGCTGCTTTAATTCCAGCCATACTGAAAAATAAGGCTTTCTTTAGAAGTAAAATATAATAAGAAATACTGTGAAAAATGTCCTTGCTCTGAAAATATTTGAATTAATAATATGTTTGCCTTCAACTCTCCATTAGTGTTTGTTGTTGTTGTTGCTGTTTGGCAGACTCCCCTCCAGGAGTCAGTGTTTCACACGATTCTCTCCATTGCACTCAACACATGAGGTTTCCAAGATCTATTTATAGAGCACTTTAAAAACAGCAAATACCAAATACACACCAATGTGCTGTACAAATCCCTGATATAAAAGGAATAGGCACACATACAATGATGATAAAGTATAGATAAACGTAATATAAGAATCATAGAATTTGGAAGACTCATGAGCCTTAACTAGACAACGAACATCAGCTGTAGCAGAGACAGAGACAAATATTAACCAAATATTTAAGTTTTGCAAAAATTCCCATTATGAAAATTACATTTCTAAACTTTCTATTATTTTGATAAATAACCATTTTAAAAAAAATCCTTGTTGTTGTAGTATTATTACTACTACTACTACTACTACTACTACAACTACAAACATTTAATAATAGTTTTAAAAAACAGGTGAAAATGCTTTTTTTCCCCAATCAAAAATATTCTATGATATAAAAATATAAATGCAAAGTATAATATAAAAATTTACTAATAATACTTATAATATGTAAATAATATATTCACATACATATGTATATATTAATAATAATATTAGATAACATAAGATAATAATAATTTGATTAAATAATTTGATTGAATATAACAATTTTTGTAAAAAATAAATAAATCTTAAAATGTTTTGCAAAAATTCAATTTATAAACATTCGATTATCTGGATATATATTAATTTTGAAAAAAAAAAAACCATTCAAAAAACATTTTCCTAGTTATATTTTTTAAATCAAAACTTTTTTTACTACTATCAATAATAATATTTAATATTATTTTTGATTAAAAAAAGATAAAATGTTTTTTTAAAAATATTCTATAGTATGAAGATATAAAGAATAATATAAAGATGTTCTAATTATAATATGTAGATAATATATTAATAGAAATATTAATATAATAATATATCGATATAATAATAAAAATAATAATAAAACATCCAACGAATGGTCTAA